TGAAAACCACTTGGTTGGTTCGGACGCCAAAAACCAATGCCGAAAACCGAAAGCCGAACGCCGGTTTCTGAAAGCCGAACGCCGGATGGCTTGGTTTTTGGCTTGGGCGAACTCCAAGTGTTTTGAGCCAAGTTTAAAACTTAAGAAAAATATTTTTGAAAATGTAAAAGAGATTTTTATGAATTGAGCCTAGAGAGCCAAGATTTGGAATTTTTTGCCGGTCTTGATCACATTAAGACCGACTCAATACAATTCTAGTTCTTCGTTCTTGATTCTGGGTTCTTGGTTCTCAAGTCATCATGCCATGTTCCTTCACCTTAGTTTTGCTCACTTTAGCTTCGATATGTCGCGGCGGTTTGACATTATCAAAACCTGTCATAAAGACGAACACAGTTTAGTACGACGGAGGCGTAAACCCGTGTTCCAACACAATATTCAATAATCATCAATACACGATACCATAATAGCAAATAGCGGCCTAAGATCAAGTGTTAATATCCTAGCTTTCCGTCATGCATCAAATAAGGTTCTTAAACTTATCAAAACATCATATTTAGTTTGTAAATGATATTCATACTGATTTGTAATTGAATGGTATGAAAAATAGAAGTTTACAGCTCAAAAACTAGGTTTGTTGGAAAAATTCCCGGGTCAGACGGTACCTATCTCGGTACCAGGATACCGTCACGGTACCTTAGTACCGTCTAGACAGTATAGGGAACCATCCAGTGTCAGGTTCCGCTAGAGGAATTTGGCTTGTGATGGTAGCTAGCTACCGTCACCGACGGTATGGCCTACCGTCCTGGCGATATCTCCGTACCGCCAGGGCTGTATCCAAGTACCGTTTCTGTAGGGGTTTTGTACACTGTCGTCTTCAACCTCGGTCCAAATTTCCAAAACACCATTTTAAGCTTCTAAACTTCATTTAACTTTATAAAAATGTTTTCTAACATCCATAAACCATTTTCAAACAATTAATTTGAAGTTTTAGCAACAATTTGAAGGTTTATAATTGTTGGTTCATCAAAAATGTATTTTTAATTTTTATAGCATATAACTCAATCAAATGCTCGTTTATGAACGTAAAAAACGATTTATATGAACATTCCAATCACTAGATATATCTAAGGGCTTACTTCGGGTTTAAATGAGGGATTTGGAAAATTTGCACCGAAACTTCTGACGAACACCACATCTATCTTTGGCAGCTTCAAGCTCTTCGGATAGCACCACAACACTCTCCACACAACAAGGAATATAAAGGAAGAAGAATGGAATATTTTGGTGAAGAAATGAGAAGGATGGAGTGTCCTTATATAGAGAGATGGTGGAGGATGAAGCCAAGGTTTGTTGCTGTCGCGTTCTGCTTAGTGGGAGGGACGGCTATTCAGTCTGATTCTCACGACTCTTCCCTGATTGGGACTAAAGTGGTCCCAATTGGGGTACACTTTTTGGTCCAACTTTCTCCAAATTAAAATGTGATTGTACCTGTGCAATCAAACAGTCAAACTCTACACAATATATAATTTTTATATTTATTTGAAATACTATTCCGATACTTTATTTTTGATTGTTTGACTTTGACAGAGTCAAAATTGATCTAATTAATCTTTCATTCAAAAGATTCTCATATTCAATTTGTATTACTCAATCTAATGATTTATTTCAATAAATCATTCAAGAGTCCACATCGATCAAACAAATCTTTGTTTAGGTATATACTCTGGTTAAAAATCAATACCACACATTCAATCTGTATATTGGATTTATCTCTACGAGATTTATTCAGAGTCATGATATTGGACATCAAATATCTTCAAATTTTGCCCAAGGCCAACAATAATTTATTTTAATCAGAAACAAATTTGTTTAATTGAATAATAATTCAATCCTTTATATATAATATTTGAGAGTTGAACTCTCAGAATTATGACATTTGGCGTGATGACTAGAATGTTTTTTGACACCTTATCAGCCATGTCATCAAGAGAATTGAATCGAACTTTCCTTCGACTAATTTATGATATAATAAAAGAAATTATGTAACTTAATAAAATTAGTGAAACATAAATATAATATTGCATAAAATAAAAATTATTAATGGAAAAAAGAAAAGTTTCTTTTTTAACTAACAAAATTTTCAGTAAAAATTTTTACCATAATATTTTGCTCAGACTCCAATTAAGCTTAAAAATTAGTCAATTGAATAAAAAGGATATTAAATCATTTTTATAGAAAACAAAAATAAATCAAAACAAACTAAAACAAATTAAAAATGAGAACTTTTAACATTTAGTAATAAAATTTTGATCTAATTATTATTATAATAACTTTATTTAATATAAAAAAATACTCCGTAACGAATAAAATTTCACATATTTCTTCAAAAATTATATTGACTACTGAACTTAAAACAAATAAAATTTTCTTTTCATTTACAACGTAACTTATAATGGTAGATAAGATACACACTTCACATATGTATTAATTTCACATACATTTAATGTAATATTTAAAAACTAGATCAAAATATTCTTTAGAAAGAAGAAAAAGTTGAACACAAATAGATGATTAGTTAATTTTTCAGTATAAATTTTAACTTATTGCAGATTTAAAAAAGTAAATTTTTTTAGGAAAAATGTACAATTTTAATAATGATTAGTTTATATTTAAATTTATTCTCATACAAACAGAATATGTTTAAATTAGCCAAATATATAAATATAATGAACATAAAAAAAATTAGGAAAAATATGCAATTTTTTTATCTTTTCCTAAATGTATAAAAATGAGACTCGGGTAATTAAGAACAATCATGTGGCTTACTCATGAGCCTCTTTTTAACACCTAATATGTCACATAGATTTTGATGTGGAAAATATGAAATTAAAAGTTTGTTAAATATTTCTGAATCTTTACATATTAAATTTGAGAGTTAATCTCCTAGAATTGCGAGAAGTGACGAATCTACATGACAACATTTTAACAGATCACCGGCCACCTATTAACGATTGAATGACGTGGCAATTTTAATCAAAATATTAGTAGATCCAATTTAAGTTGTATACGGAGTATATGTCTTATGTACAGTATTGCTATAATTTTTTGGAAAAAATTACTCTGTACCAGAATAAGAATAAACATGGAGAAAATATTGTAATAAAAATACATTTTTTTCTCCAAAATAGGGAGATTTCTTAGAACAATACACGAAGTTTTATTGTAATAAAAATACATTTTTTTCTCCAAAATAGGGAGTATTGTTAAAGAAATTAGAACAATACATGAAGTTTTATGCAATTGAGTGAGAACTAAAATTCTTTTTAAAAAATTAAAAAATCAACTTCTAAAATAATTAAAATAATAGTACTCCGTATAAATTTTTAAAATCAACTTCTAAAATAATAGTTACATTTTTCACATAAAATTTTAAAAAATTATCACATAAAAATAATCACATATATTTTACATACCATATTTTTTTCACTTGATATGAATTTAGTTTCAAAGAGCAAAACAAATATAGTTACAAGGGTTTTCACAAAGAAAAATTACAAAAACATTTAAAAATAATCATAGGTATTTCACTTTTGACTTCATTGAAGTCACAACAAGCACTTTTTAAAAAAACACAAAAAATATTTGCATGGGATATATACAACAAAACAATATTTGCAAAAAAAGGGAATCACATATTTTTCATTTGAAATTTGAAATTTACTAGCTTAAACACGAGTGGCTAATAGAAGGACACAACACATTAAGATGCCCCCAAAATGTACAATTGAGATAAAATTATAATTATTATAACAGAGACCTAAATTAGCAAAAGGCTAATCCAAAAGGGTCATTTTGAAAAATTACTCTTCATTTAAATGTTGAAAATACCTAAATTTCCTCCATTGAACATTCATTTAAGATACATATACGGAAGACACTGAGTGAATAAATCTCAACTATAAAGTACTCCATAGATAATTAATGCTTAAAAACACTGATTTGGAAAATACATTATTCGAAGAGACTATTTCGAGATTACACAAAGAAATTTATAATTTATAATTAGGTGACTTAAAGACTTAAGACTATATTTTTTAAAGAATAATTATACGTGTCATGATTATGTACTTTATTTTTAGACAAATGGATAATATGTCTACTATGAGATTGACTCAATGCATATCTTACATAAAATTAAAGTTTTGTTTATGCCAAGATGACTAATTGTGATATGAAATAAAAGTATTTCCATGCAATTTGACTATTTTAAAATATTGAATTTTTAAAATAAACAAATTAAAAAAAAGATTTAATAGGACTTTTAAACTTTATCTCGGTAACTTGGTTTACTATTTTTAATTAAAATAATCTTATATTGTAACTTACAATTTACTCAGTACATACTTATATTATTATTGTGTTAGAATTCAAAATGTTTATAAATAAAATTAAGAAATTTTGAATGAGAGAGAACTTACTTCCTACGTTTTCATTTACGCAACCGTACATGGAAACTTCATAAGAT